TTGTTTTCAGTCTTTTTGTGCAGAGCAGAAAAAGTCATCTTCAAGTCTGTTCTGATCTCCTCTAGTTCCGCCTCGAAATGATTGTTTATGTTAAATTGACATTGTTGAAGAAGTCCCTTGATATAATCCATTGAGGATTGCAATGTTGATTCTCCCCCTCTTTCCATGGCTGTGGCAGTCAGCAGGTTAATTACTCAGATTTCCCACTTGATTTATTAGCTAGTCCGCACTTAAAGTCTCCGAGCAGCTAACTCACCATCATGGAGACTTCACGAGACAGATTGCGTGTAGTAAGAGAACTCTTCCAAAAAACAGACTGCCATCTGAGATTTGGTGGTTCCAAAGCCTCCACTTGCCAGCAAGTCCCACTCTCCTGTGGGAACTTGCCCCCCTTCTCCTGGGGGGGGGGTCCTCTGACTCGGAGTAAAACCAGGGGAATCAGAGCCCTGGAATTTCCCCTGTTCTCGCTGCTTGTTGCTCCGCCTCCAGAAGTGAAGAACTTTCTTGACATGGGTCATAGTTGATATTTTTTTAGCTGGGATGGGAAGGGACAACATGCGGACCACATATAATCCTTGAACTTTTTTGTGGCCATCACTGCACTACCATTGTGGCAGACTTGACTGCCACGATTCAGTTTCACCATATTGGAAATCCATTCTGAGGATTAAAACAGGTAAATATTCAATTTCATTTTCAATTTAAAATAATTTTTAAATGCCTCTATTGTAAGTGTTAATGTCAGTTTTTATGGAATTTTCATCTCATCATTATCTTTCTGCACAACTAAGTGCACTGATGGCCTCACCATCACTGAATTGGCTGCCACAACAGTCCATGTGCTGAAAATTGGCAGCTTCCTTCTACTTGACAGTTTCTTTAGGAACAGAAGAGAGAGAAAAGATTCTTGGTTGTACAGAATGAATGAATGAACAAATGAATGAATGAATAACTTTATTGTGGTATAAAATCATAGGAATGCAATCAACACAGTTACAGGATAATATCTTGGTAACATAAATGAATATCTACAGAGAATTCAGAATTCAGAGTTTAAAATTTAATTTAGAATTTGAACCTTCTAATTAACCCATCTTCTTAGTATGAAATTTAATCAAATATAAGCAAAATTTAGCTATTTGTTTAGTAATAAAAGAGTTCTCGTCATTTAAATGTCTTTCCAAATCCTTCTCATCTGCATCTGCTGTTAATCTATCTAAACATGGCAGGATAAATCTCTCCCTGTGTGGGTGATGAAAGCGGCAGTGGAAAAACGTATGTACCATCGATTCCACCTGCCCTTGGGGGCATGGACAGTGTCTGTTCTCACAGTGAAATTTAACTCCATTTTTAGTTCTCTGCCGTAGAACTAATGTTTCCCTGAAAATAAAACAGGGTCTTCTATTAATTTTTGCTCCAAAAATTCATTGGGATTTATTTTTAGGGGATTTTAAATTTTTTCATGTATAACAATCTACATTTATTCAAATACAGTCATGTCATCTTCTTCTGGTTGCTGCACAATGGTGGAGGGTGGGGTTTCACTTAAGTGGGGCTTATTTTTCGGGTAGGGCTTATATTACTAGTATCCCGAAAAATCATACTAAGACTTATTATCAAATTGTACAGACAAATTGTACAGTAGCTGCTTTGGGTTTTATTTGCTTCACTGCTGAAATTTGGTAATGCAGCATGAGCTGTAGCCCCTAGTGAGTTTAGAAGGGCCATTGTACGTACTGCAACCATGGAAGTTGCCTATCCCTGACTTAATAGTTCTGTTGAGCTTCACAGTATGTTAGTCTCACAATATGTTGTTTAATGTCTTTGGAAAAATGTTTGGAGAAACTGTTTGAAGCAAAGTGCTCTTAATTAATTCAAGACACAACACAAATTTTCTTTTGTTTGAATTCAGGTGCGTTTGCACATATTATAAATAGGGGTCTGGAGTTGGTATGAAGCATAAACTGACGATTAAAATAATATTGGCTTGTAATTAGAAACTGATTCAGATGTTCGGTAAAAGGGTTGATCTTAACCCATGAGAGTATGGAACAGGCTAAACAGCTAAGGGGAGAGCAGTCTTCTGTCCTTGGGACTATGAAGTTTATTGACTTATCTGTGAATGCTATTCAAAACTTTTGGATGTTTCACACACAGCTGAAAGGCTGTTTGCTGGGAGGAGATAGGAGAAGGCACATTTCATAGTACAGTGGTGCCTCGTTTAACGACGAAATCGCATAGCAATTAACTTTTTGCGATCGCTTTGCGATGTTCCCTATGGGGGAAAATCACTTTGCGATGATCGGTATCCTGTTTCGCTTACCGATCATTGCAAAGCGATGATTTTTTAACAGCTGATCAGCGGTTCCAAAATGGCTGCCGGGTAAAATAAATGGCCGCCCGCTATTTTCTGGGATGGATTCCTCGCTTACCGGGCAGGGAAAATGGCCGCCGTATGGAGGATTTTTCACTTAAAGGTGAGTCTGAAACCCATAGGAACGCATTGAAGGGGTTTCACTGCATTCCTATGGGCTTTTTAATATCACATAGCGACGAAATCGCTTTGCAGTGATTTATTGCTGCAGTGATTTTTGCTGCACCGATTATCGTCGCTATGCGAGGCACCCCTGTAGTTAGAGTCCTTCCTTTCATAGAAACAGGTTCAGTTAATTAGAGGTTTAACACTTGAGAAAGTTCATGGGAAAGGAGTAATTTGAAATTACTGCAGCCACTTTGTGGGACATCTAAGTTTGGGTTCCCTTGTGTTTTCATTTAGGATGGCTGTTCATGTAGGTATTTTGTGGCCAGAATTCTATCACTGTTCAGATAGGTTTCTGTAACTTGCCATGGATAACTTTAGCTGATTGATGAGATGCTAGGTTACATTTTGGTTGTGCAGTCACTCACTTTTTTATAGTGGCTAAAATTCTTTTGCTTATTATAGTAAGTTGTACTAGAGTAGGCCCATTGAATCAATGAGGATTGGTGAGTCAACTCTTCCATATCTTCCATTGATTATAATGGACTACTTTAATTGTGACTTCATTCAGTATAATAAATTGCAGTTAGAGTAAGCCCATTTGAATCAGTGGAGCTTAGGGAGGAATTGACTCAACAAATCCCCACTGATTCAGTGGGCCTACTGCGGTGTGACTTGCTACACCTGTATATGCTCGGTTCTGCTATAAGCCATGTATTCATGGGCTCCGAAACAGATCAAGCATTTCAAATTTGGATTTATTACTGGATGCTAAATATTTCTTGGATTGAAAGGTTTGTCAGTGAAGAAGTTGAAGTTAATAAGTAAAGCAAAAAACCCTACTATAACATTAATTTAGAAACATGCAGTGATTTCTCAACTCAAGGCAATTACCTCTACAGGTTATGTTGTTTGCGTTATACTGGTATAAAATCTCAATAGTATTTTTATCATATCTGAGTGTTTTGACATTAATTGTAAACCATATAGATAGTTCTTTGTAAGAAGATGGATTGGAAGTATTTAAAATAGTTCAATAAAGATTCACACCTATAAAACAAACAGCCTAAGAATTTAAGTTGTGAGATGACAGATAACATGAGAAATGTTACTGTACTTAGAAGATGAATGAAAGTGAGCTAGACACTTACAGACTTTTAATTTGATACTAAAAGATATGCAGAGGTTAACAGCAAAAATTAGAGAAAGAAATAACATAAAAATAAGTCATTTAAAAATTAAACTCACTTTTTAAAAACTAACATAGTTTTTAATTTAATTTCTTTTTAATGTTTATTTTATTTTAAACCTTGTGTGATGGTAGTTTTAAATTAAAATCTGCTGTAGCTGAAAAATCTCACTATGGAATAAAGACTGTAATTCTTACCTTTATATTACAAAATGAAATGTTCATATAACGTTTTTGAAAACATTTCATATACAAGCCTCCATAAGGTTCTGTACAGATTATTATTTAGATTAATCTCTCCTATTGCAAGAACAGACAAATTAAATATTTACAGTTTTCAAAGTTGGTTTGTGTCTGCAGACCTTATCAACAATATATGGAGATCAGCCTTATTTTCCAGTTCTGATTTAAGCTATTCCTGAATTTTTTTCTTGATATGAATCTCATGGTTGAAATTCTTGGACGCTTATCAGAATGTCCTGTTCAGTTGTTCCTATGCAGCTTCATGTAGACAAAATCAAAGCTTCTCAAACGGATGAATGCAACTATCATTCTTTTTCTTTTGATTATGGAAAAGTTATTGTACCATGTTAGAAATGAAGATGTAGAACTCCAGTGCTCTGAGGTTGAAAAGCATCTTGTTGACAGTTATGTATCCATTCTTCCAACTTATTGCTCCACTGAATGCACAGCATAAGAATCGATCTGCATACTGATAGACTGCTGGCTTGCAAAGTAGATAATGATGATAAATTATGCTGCTGAATATGTAATTCTAGACCTTGACGATACATAGCTTTTTTACTTGCCATATTTTCTGTTTGACAGAATAGATGACTGACTGTGAATGAAGTGATTATGTAGAACTTTTTAAAACCAGATATCATACACAAAAATCCTTATTTGAAAGATTTTTCAAGTCAGATTCTGCACATGAGCTATTCATCTCCTCAACCTTTGCCTGCAGATGTGATTTTAAAAAAATCCTGAGTACTGTATTTACAAAACCTCTGTACTTTAAATGACTTTGATGAAGAGAAGGCTAGAATAGGTTCTATAAGTGCTTTAGTTTCAGCATCATTTGGTTTGTAACATTTTATTCAGCTTCTCCTCTTTATAGGAAGAAACTAACTCTGATTAAATTTCCATTTCTGAGTATTGGTTGTAATTGTGTACTGTTCCTTATTGGAAAGAAGAACTCCATATTGATAGTTTAAAATATTGAAAGAGATTGATGGAGAGCTTTAGATGATACTCTGTAATGTGAAATTTACTTCATGAACTTAATGTAATGGATGCTGGTTGTTGTTTTCTTTTGGTTTGGTGTGTCAGGTGCAGTGGCAAGCACAGAAGTAAAAATGAAGTTACAAGAATTTGTCTTAAATAAAAAAAAAGCTTTGGCACAGAGGAATCTCAACCATTGCATTTCCAATGACCCTCGTTTCTGGTATGGGTAAGTGGTCCTGTCTTCACACCAATGTTTTCCACAATTTCTGTTGACATAATGAGATTGCATTGTAGGTTATAGTCATTGTGCCTGTAAGATACTATGGAAGTGTAGAGACTTTGAACTCGGGGGAAGTCTAATGTGCTCTAAGTATTTGTTTGCAAGAGAATGGAGGGTATCTAGCAAAATAGATACTGGATGGTGAAAACAAAATAAAAATAATTGCAAGTAATTTAGTGACCATACATAACTTTTAAGGCCAGGACACTGTTGGAGCATCAGGCCTACAGGCCTATCTGGGATCCTCTGCTTACACACACTGACATTGATGTTGCTAATACTTGGTTTATGAGAAAAAAGTCAAGCAGCTTGTGCTGTAGTTTACTGCAGGGGTCCTCAACCCCTGGTCCGCGGCCCGGTGCCAGTCCGTGGCCTTGTCTGGACCGGGCTGTGGAGGCAGATCTCCCGCTGTCCCCTGCACACACTCCGCCCCATACGGCCACTCGCACAACTCCCTTGTGCATGTGCGATCGCCCCACCTCTTTACGCATGCGCGAGCGCTCCTGCCCCATCGTGCATGTGTGCGAGTGCCTGCACGAGCAAGCACTGCCCTTTCACGCATGCGTGTGAGAGCGGGGTTGCCCTGCCTTTCTGCGCACGGAACCCATCTTCTCCCCCAACCGCTCCGTGGTGTCAAAAAGGTTGGAGATCACTGGTTTACTGCATAAGTTGTTTGACTCTGTAGGATCCTGGCCTAAAGACCTTTATGAAAACTGCATATTTTCTAAAAGAATCAGTTGCATATAGAACAAATATGGAATCTACTTGAAGATTACTTTATTTGTTATTGGTATATGCATGCAGTTTTCTTCCACTGTGTATTTGCAACAGTTTTAGCATTTACAACAATCACCAGCAGTAATTTAGCCCAGGGATGGGCAACAGTGCCTATGTAGTTTGTTTCTACCTATAATTCCTGTCAGCATAGCCAGCAGTGAAGGGATTATAGGGTTTGCAATCTGAAAACACCTGGGGGATCTCATTCACCCACACATATAGACAAATGTTTCTTCTTCTTTTCCAAACCACACGTTTCACACTGAAAAAATGTGTCTGAAACAACCTCTAGAATTACAGGCACAAGCTGTTCTCAGTTTCAGAGGTCAAAGCTAGCATCTTGAGGAAACTAGTGGAAGTGGGAAACTATTGCTTTGATGTATGTAGAATATGTATCATGGAAATGAATTAAGAAATAAATGTAGATTATATCTAAGATGATGAAATTGTGAAATTATAAATTTGTTTATTTATAAAATACTTAAAAGGTTAAACTAAACTCAAAAAACAAACAGTAGTATTTCCTTAACATTCATACATACCCAGTTTTGAGTTGGAATGGAAACATTTTGTTATATTGATAATTTAGTGAGAGAGAATAGGAAAAGGAAAGTGTCACTTTTCCTGGAAGGCTTAAAGGTGAACTGTGAGTCTGTCATTTTTAAATTTATACATTGTTGACTTATATAATGTATTATTTTCTCTTTAGGAAAACGCAGCATAGTTCTCTTGATCAGAGCTCTCCACCACAAAGTGGAGCATCAGGAAATTACAATCACCCTGTACTAGGGATGTATGATTCCAAAGATGATTTTCCACTCAGAAAAACAGGTAAATGCACTTTTTAATTATAACATTTCAAATATGTTGGTGTAAAAAGTAATTACATGAAGCATTCACTGAATTTCTTGTAATTAATGAACACATTTGTGTGTCTGTTCTTTTATGCTATTTGTGTTATTTAATGCATATAAGCTATGCAATACCTACATTCTTTTTTAATGTCTAAAACCAAGACCATCCATACTGCTGTATTTCCGGACAGTTAAGAAAGCTGACAATAAAAATGATTTGTTTGAAATATGGTACTAAATGAGGGCTTTGTGGATACCTTGGACTGGCAAAAAGATGAACAAGTGGGTTCTAGATCAAATAAGGCCTGAGCCAAAAATGTTGAAACTTAGGCTGTCTAATTTGGACATATCATGAGAAGGCAGGATTCTGTGACAAAGACAACAATTCTGGGAAAGATGGAAAGCAGCAGGAAAAAAAAAGAGGAAGATCAAATATGAGATGGATTGACTCCTTAAGGTGGTACCTTAAAGCAGTGCCCCCCAACCTTGGGCCTCCAGATGTTCTTGGACTACAACTCCCAGAAGCCTTCACCATCACCTCTGCTGGCCAGGATTTCTGGGAGTTGAAGTCCAAGAACACCTGGAGGCCCAAGGTTGGGGACCACTGCCTTAAAGAACATATTTCAGTGTGAGCATGTTTGCATTATAATTCACTTCTTCTACTCTTGCAACAATTTACTTAGCCATAGGTGTATATGTAGTATGCTTTGTGAGGTGGAATACAATGCTGTTTTCTTTACAGTCTTTTATATGGACAGCATTAATGACTCTGGCCTTAGACCAGTGGTCAGGGAACAGGGGTAAATTACCCCAAATGGGGTAAAAATGAAAATCCTGGGGGTAATGAGGACGGTCGCAGCAGGCATTTTACCCCCAGGCATTTTATTTCCGACAATGTTGTGTATAGCCAGGCATTCCGTCGCGGGTGGAGAGCGAGTCCTGGCGAGGAACTGCACAGGGCACCCATCTGCCTTCCTCGCCTCCAAAGTTGGGGGGAGGACGGCGTACCAGGCCAGCTGGACTCTTTGCTCGGCGTAGCCCTGGCCAGAGCTCTCCTTCCTGCCCACACCCACCCGCCTGGTGCGCTGGCGAGGAGGCCCCCTTCCTGCCCTGCCTCACCCGAGCTCCTGGCCAGGGGACCTGCTGGACCTGCGGTGCCTGCCTCCCCTCGCCAAGGATGTGCTTTCCCAGTGGTGTGGCAGCTTCAGACTAGCTGCCCGGGTGGGAGCCACAGGTCCCGGGCGGAGGGCTCAGCCACAGACGGTGAGAGCCGGGGTGGTGGTGGTAATGTCGACGTATATAAATTGGGGGGGGGGGGGGGTAAAAGGTAAAAAAGTTCCCTTACCCCTGCCTTAGACCGAGATGTTCCTTCCTGGCTCAGCATCTTTGCATTTCAAAGACAAGTATATCCTTACCTTACAGACAGACAGTCACTTTAATAATGGCCAAGATACTTACGTAAGCACCACTCTAGAGTTCACAATATATCAATAATTCTTTTGTCAATTTCACCTTTCAGTATGGGCCTATATCAATTTTTACTGTGGCCCATTCCCTACTATCTGTAATGATAGAATTTTCTAGTTATAAAATACTCAGAGGTGATTTACAAGTCTTTTCTTCTGTTGGAGTTATGGGATTGTGCAGCTTACCCAAGGCCACACAGATGTCAGGGCACCTATCTCCATCAACCACACAATCTATTCGTAACCTCAGTTGACCCTTCACTCCCATAAAGAGACTGTATAAAAACCTGTGGTTAAATGTTTTATTCCATGTGTCTGAGGAAATGATTTGTAATTCTCAAAAGCTGAAAAAACCTGTGAGGTGCCACAATACTTTTGAAATAAATCTATTAGTCTATAAGGTGCCACAATATTTTGGTTTCTGCTTTCTTCTTTTTTTGTTGTACATGCTAAAATAGACTAATATAACTGCCTCTTTGAAAATAAAGAAAGGAGATGAAGACACGGTGACAATAAGGTGCTAAAATACAGATACTCAGGTTTGGTAATGCAATCAGTAGCCAAAATTGTGTTTGCTGCAATAGTTTGTACTAGAGTAGTCCCATTGAATCAGTGGGGATTCACTGACTCAACAGTGTTTAAATTTTCCTTAAAATATAGTCTTGTATGGTATTCTAAACTTATTACTGTATGATTTTAGTTGTGAGACGCCTTCAGTGTCCTATGAGTAGAAAAAAGGCCTGTAAAGAAACAAAATAAATAAATAAATAGATATCATAAATAAAACTCCTGTAAGTTTCACTTATTGCAATCTGCCTACTCTACTTTAGCATAGGTTTTACTGATTCAAATCAGCCTACTCTACTTTAGCATAATATGTAGCAGTTAGAATAGGCCCATTTCAATTAATGAAACTTAGGGAGGAGTTGACTCACCAAATTGATTCAGTGGGCTACTCTAGTATGATTTACTAAGCTGAGCAACTGGATTTTGGCCACTGGCTGAAATCCAGCAGTAGAATTTATGCCATGGAAGGCTTGTGATGTCAGCTGTGTTCGTGTATAATAAATTAAAAATGTTGGGTTCCTTCTCCCACCCCTAAATATAACTAGGCACCCTTCAGATCCTGTGTATTAAGTGGAAGCCATTGGGGGTTGTGGGGTGAGAGGGGGAGTCTTTAATTTTCAAAAAACACTGCTGCTGGGATGACTTTACTAATAACAGTAATTTTCAGACATTAAAGAATCCCACTGTCCTCCAGCCCCCAGATGCTTTCTCCCGATAAAAATGATCTCAAGGGAGCCTTGTGACCTCTTCAGGAGAGGGGGAATTGGAAATTTTCACTTAAAAAACACATCTGCAACTGTGGATGCCATCAGTCTTATGCAGCAGAAGTTCCAGTACTGCATTTCAGCCACTGTTTTTGCTGTCCATGGAGAAAAGGATTGATTTAGGTACAAAAATCTGAGAAAGTATGTACTGTACTTATCTTGATGTAATCAAGTCTCACTTGTATACTGAATTATGGTTGGGATTCAAATGGCAGTAATCAAATTTCTTTTCTTGAGAAGTGGCTTTTCAACGGTCAAAAATCTTGTTACATACATGCGGAAGGGTAGTAATGTCAATTCTATAGCTAAAAACTTCCTCCTTGTATTCTGCAGATTGTACAACTTGTGAGTAATCCATTGCATTACATGGAAGCAGTGGAAAATGTGGAACGAAAGGTGGAAGTCTTTCATTACTGAAAATTCTGCTGCTGAATGATACTGGCAATAGAAGATTTCTACCTATTGTCTCATAGCTTCCAAGAAATAAAATGGATTACTCGTGAGTGGGACAAGCAACAGAATGGAATGAGGATGTATATAATTGCTGAAANCCCCATGCCTCCCCCCCCCCCCGCTGATGGTGTTATCATCCTTCTTCTTTGTGGCCTCTATGAATCACACTCTGGGTGTGATCCGTGCATGCATGGAGCCTCGTTGGAATATTCTAGAGCTTTTGCGGTAGCAAAAAGATACATTAGTGCAGCCCCCTTTCCCCTGGTATATGTACCTTGGTGCCAAGTCTCTCCCCTCAGTTTCTCTTCAACCGCTGCGTTGAGAGCCTCAGTTGCAGCTTCTATAAATTTTCGGGCGGGGGGGGGGAATTACCTTTTATTATTTTAGTCTCTTTCTTTGCCATTCTTATACTTTCTTTGCCTCTAATTGCCCAGCATTTTCCTCAGCTGTAATTAACCCCTCAGATTCCAGATCTTTTTCTGCTGACCTCATGACATCTCGACATCAACTAATTCTAATACCGCCAAATAAGGACAGTAGGTGTATTGACTACATGGGCAGATAGCTACATTCTTCATTCGCATTTACCATGAGAGTCTCCACCTATCAAGGAGCTATGGGTGCCTACCAATGCTTTCTTTGGAATAATATGCCACCTTTATTGATGCACTCCGTGAAAATAAACCGATTCTGGCCCAAACCTGTCAGCAAGAAGGCCTCTCAGTAGCTAAGCAACAGATGCTAGCTGCTAGACATCTGGAGTTGGCCACAGTGATAGGCCTCCCACTCGTATTTCCTGTGTCCAATTTGCGGCATTTTTAAAATCTTTTTTTAAATATAATTTTATTTTATTTTTTACATAAAGGGTGACATAGGAACATGGGGGTTAGGGTTTGTGAGGGAAGGGGATTTGTGAGGGAGAGAGGAAATCATAGCATACTAATATCCAAGCTATACCTATTGCCATATCAAATCCAAAATCATTCTATTTACTCTTTTCTGCCTTGTGTATAAGGTTCTCATTTCACTATATA